CAGCCACAATTTAATGGGAAGGGATGCGAGTAGCCCCATGGGCTTTTGTCTGCATGGTTTGATTCGTTGACAGACTTCACATTCAGCCACAATTTTTTCAGCAGTCCCTTTCTTGCCAGGCCAATCAAACTGTCGCAGCAGATTTGCGTACGTCTTTGCCATGCCAAAGTGTTCGCTCCGGCCATGAGCCAAATCCAAAAAGTGTGTGCGGAGAGGCTCATGGTTGGGCACACACAAACGGTCGTGGTTCCCGTAGCGACGAAAAATCAGTCCTCCATACTCGTGAAAATCCGGCTGACTGCTAGGGTCAGCCCGTAGCCGCTCAAGGATGGATCTAAGCTCCGGATCCTTGGCCGTGTGCTCTACGAGTTCCTACTTCAGTTTCTTCCGGAGGTCGTAGGATTTGACAAGGCAAGTTATGTACTCGGGGTGGCGAGACAAAGTGTCAGCTACTCGGTTATAACAACCCTTTTTGTGTCTTAACTCAAAATCGAGAACGTCAATTTCATGGAACCAGAGAAGCAAGGTAGGGGACAGGGTGGTTTGCTGTTTGATCCACTTCAGAGTCTCATGATCTGAGAAGACTTTGAAGTGGCGTCCCAAAAGATAGTGTTTCCAGTGGTCCAACACCATACGCAAAGCATAGAGCTCGCACATGTACGTGGAAGTGGCTACCTTTACGCTGGGCATGCGTTTGCTGTACTATTCGAGTGGCCGCAAGCCATCGCCGTCGTCTTGCTGCAGCACTGCGCCAATTTCGTACTGACTCGCATCCATAGTGACTACGAGCGTCGGTTTGGGATCTGCAATGCAGAGTACTGGGCGACTTACCAAGGCTTCCTTTAAAGCTTGGAAAGCACTCGTGCACGCGGCGTCCCAAGAATAGGGAACATTTTTACTGGTCAACCGCGACAATGGATGAGCAACAATAGAGAAGCGGGGCACAAACTTCCGATAGTATGACGCGATGCCAAGAAAAAAACGCAGTTCGTGAATATTCACGGGTTGAGGCCAATTGCGTACGACCTCAACCTTGGTTGCCTCAAGCTCCAAGCCTGCAGCAGACAACCGATGCCCAAGATAGATGATGCTATCCTTCCCAAAACTCAGATTTCTGTAAGTTGAGATGGAGTTGCGTTTTCTTGAGGATGGTCAGTATTTCCTCAAGGTACTTGAGGTGTTCCTCCATGGACTTGCTGAAGATTAGTATGTCATCGAGGTAGACCACCACGAACCAACCAATCTGTTCGCGGAGGATCTTGTACATGAGGCTTTGGAAGGTGGCTGGTGCGTTCGTGAGACCGAAAGGCATTACGGTAAACTCGTAAAGCCCATCGCTTGCTTTGAACGCAGTCTTGTGCTGGTCCGCACGATCGACTTCAATCTGGTGGTGGCCAGACTTGAGATCGATCTTGGAGAAGACCTTGCACCCACCTGCGGCATCAAGCAAGTCATCTATACGAGGCAATGGATATGCATTCTTTCTTGTGATGCGGTTTAGACTGCGATAGTCAATACACATACGGAGTTTGCCTCCTTTCTTTGGAACAAAGAACACAGGAGCACCAAATTCAGATTCGCTAGGCTTGATCCACCCC